TTTTTTTTCTTCCTTATCACTCTGTATTTACAGGATTTCACTGTCCACTCTGTTCAAATGTGGTTGAATGGCTACACATAGATCTGTGCACGCACTGTCAGAGCTGTGTGAGATCACTACCATCCTGCTTTTGTGGGGGTGTTAAATATTTATTTTTGTTTTGTTTTTTTCCCCATAGGTTTTTAACATTCTAAAAGCTCTTTATTCCAAAGATACTACAAGCTAGTCAGTGTATTCAGTAGGTGTAACGTATTCTAAGTTGCTTCAGAAGTATTGCAAGTATTACGTACAACAATAAAACAGTGCATTGACATAAAAAAGGAAATTTACTTTTGCTACTTAAGTACTTTTAAAAGCAAGTACTTCTGTAGTTTTACTTAAGTAAAAATCTGTCTTTACAACTTTTACTTGTAATGGAGTAATATTTGACCAGCAGTATCTGTACTTTCACTCAAGTAATGGAGTTGAGTACTTTGTCCGCCTCTGACTACATGTTTCCATTGATAAAACACAAGCACAGAGATTAATGCAGCTTATAACAAAGAAACAATGTTGTAAAGAGACAGATGGAAAGATATATCAGCATCACATTGTATACAGAAAATGATTAATAATCAGCAAAAGTGGAGCAGAAAGTGCTGGAAATGAATTATAATTCACAGACAAAAGAGATTTGAAATAAAATTCAATTATATTTATTATGCACACAATTTATATTAATTGAGAGTCTACTTTTGCATATTCTTAAGGTGTATATAATTTATGCAGATATATAATATTTGCTTTTTTTTATTGTTTGTCAAACAAAGGTATCAAGAAAATATGGTGAAAAATAAACTAGAGGAAATGGCGACCAGCATCTAAACTTGTGCAAACTACCTTGTACATTAAAATACATTTGAACATAAAATCTTGAAAAACAACATTGTCCATGTTATTAGTCAGTTGCAATCTAAAATCAGCCAGTTCTGGTTCTTGACATGCCTTGTGATCAGTTGTTTGATGGCAAGTCAGATACCAGATCAGCTTATTTTTTTCACTTAGGTTTTTTATGCCTGCTCTCCCCTTCTAATTTAATTTTTCTTTTTAAGTGTATCAGGAGAGGCAGGCACTTGTGTGAGTCTTAAAGAGATAGTCCATCCAAAATGAACATTTTGATGTTGTTTACTCACCCTTATGATATTGCAAACCATTATGACTTTCTTTCTTCTGCAGAAAACGAAAGAACATATTTTGAAGAATGTTGCTAACCAAACAGTTTGGGTTCCCCTTGGCTTATTATCTGGGCAAAAAATACAATGGAAGTCAATGGAAACTGTTGAGAAACTGTATGGTTACCAACATTGAAGTAAATAAAGAAGAAGAAATAAAGTCATACAGGTTTGGAACGACATGAGGGCAAGTAAATAATTACAAAATTGTAATTTTGGGGTGGAACTATCCCTTTAAAATACTGTCAATGCTGTTTTGTCATTGTCATTTTTCCATTATTTCCTTTCATCTCGTTTTTATTCATCTAACATGAGATGTTATGTTGCATTATCATTTTTTAAAGAACCCTGTTATTTTATTATATTATTATCTTAATTACTAAAAGAAAAATTCATTTGTGAAATACAATAAACAGTCAGGCCATGAAGCAACAACACCTCCCCACACATAGCACCCCCTTCTCCCCTTACACAAACAGGCCCATTCAATGACTAACAAACATGCCATCATAGTGCACTGGTTGTGAGAATGCATGTGCACATGCACATGTGTGAGTGAGTGCAGGTCTGTGTGTGTTTATGCGTGTGTGTTTGTCAGCAGCATGGCATAGCCCAGCCTCGGAAGGAATGGCAGGACTCTGAGGTGGGGGACGTGCTCAGAGTGAACAAATCATGCTAATTGTTTTGGGAAGACTGTGAAAGTTAGACCCAAGATGAAGGCACAGAAGGAGGCTTTCTCTTGGGCATCAGCTGCTTTTGCTGCTCCTCTCCTCTTGATCCTTGCAGTTCTGATTCACTCAGGTAAGAGGGACACATGTAACTTTTTAGCGAATGATAATGTTGTTGGCCTAGATCGAGAACTTGTGGTGTAGTTATGGCTGGTTAAAGAAAGCTCAAAACCAAAGTTCTTTTACCTTTTTACATTCTCTGTTTTGTATAAGATATTTCAAGGAGTTTAATGTCATTGCATATGGCAAGTTCTGATGGGTCTTGTAATGTGCAGACCAGTACATTTAGACCATTTTGGACACTTCTATCACACTTATAATGGATGAATTTCATAGCATAAGGTAACAAAATCTCAAATCAAGTGGGAACAAATAATGCTACAGCTTTCTTCTAAACTAGTGTCACTTTTTGAGCTTTTCTGAAATCTTTAAGTGGTGTCAATATGATTTTTAGCTGAGATATTTCAAGGAGTTTAATGTCATTGCATATGGCAAGTTCTGATGGGTCTTGTAATGTGCAGACCAGTACATTTAGACCATTTTGGACACTTCTATCACACTTATAATGGATGAATTTCATAGCATAAGGTAACAAAATCTCAAATCAAGTGGGAAACAAATAATGCTACAGCTTTCTTCTAAACTAGTGTCACTTTTTGAGCTTTTCTGAAATCTTTAACTGGTGTCAATATGATTTTTAGCTGATGTTTGGCAGCCAAAATGTCTAACAGTTCTTTTTATCTTAATAACAAAATATCTATTTTTGTTATCATTTGAAACCAGACAAATCGCTTTTTATGAAATGTTATACTTAAAAAAGTGTTCTTGCATTTTTTTAAAACTCTATAAAGGCTACTGTGTCATATTTGATATGCAAATGTCTGAGGCCCTAAATGATCAACATAATCAAAACTTTGCTGAAAAACCTGTTTTACACAATCTTCTACATGCCTTTTGTCATCTGACTGACGTTTTTAGCAAGTAAAAGGCCTTTCTAAAATTGGTACACGTCTTTTGCTGTGAAATCTTTTTCAATATTTTTTTACATTTTTAAATAGTAAACGAGAGAATAACTTTTATAATGTTGGTAATATTTCACTTACTGGACTTGACTGTCCATCCACCATTTGTTTTTTTTTTGTTTTTTAGAAAAATCATGTTAAAATATGACTATCAAAAATGATACATCAGGCTTTTGAGGAACATTTATTTGCCTTTCAGTCGTCATTGCACTGCATTGCATTATATGTTTTCCACCTCAATAAAAACTACAGAGCTTTGATCATAAATCTAAGAATTGAAATATCATCTTACAAAATCATATTATTGGGCTATATAGAGTGACAACTGCTATGTCTATGCATGTTATGTAAGTTGTCTGCTATACAGGATTTCATTGATTTACATTACAAGCTTTCAGAATTTCATCTTACTTTCTGGACATGTAAATATCAGCAACTGCACCAAATTGTATATTTACAAGTACGTTCAGTTTGAGCCTCTGAATGAAACTGAGGTGTTTTTCCCCTCCATATATATATATATATATATATATATATATATATATATCATAAAAGCATGCTATATCAAATATTATACTCAAAAAAACATGCATGCAAAAAAAAGTAAACAAAAGTAGATTTTTCTGACTATTTTTTCATATGTACAGGGTTAAAATAAATTCCATTGGATTTTATATTGGGTTATATAATGCAGTGACATTCATACATTATGAGTATGACTATGACAATCTCATAGTATGAGTATGAAAAAAAACCTGGAACATTGCTATACCACACTCAAATGAAAATGGAAAAAAATACAACTTGAGTAAAATAAAAATTTTGTTTCTATAGGTTCCTGTACAGTGTAATGCTGTGCCATGAAGCAGTGTCAGAGCAGATATCAGCATTAAGACCATAAGTTACTAGATGGACTATGATGACTTACAATGTACTTTATATTGCTATTTACAACATCATGAAAACCCATTCCTATCCTCACATCATGACTGCTTTAGAAGCTGTTTGTGTTGTACAATTGGCCAATGTTGTCATCAACAGACTCACAGGAGCCCCGTGTGTCACTTTTCATCTAATCACACTGATTGTTTGTCGCTCTGTAGGTTCTTTTCATGCCAGGAAATTGGGCCAAACAATTCAAGCTTTTGTGTGCACATCTCTGGCAGGCCTTTCCCACTGTAAGCAGTTACTAAGGAGATGAGCTGTTTCCACACAGGCTTTATTCTGCTGCTTATCAGACAAAGAGAATGAGAATCTTTGATGCTTTACATTAGAATACTTACAGCTTTAAAAGGTGACCTACTAAAACATTTATTGTACAGTACTAAAGTAAAACAAATCTTTTTAAGAATGAAGCATTGACGTTTAATAATTAAGCATATTCTAAAGCATATTAGAATAATTTCTGAAGGACCATTCAACTTTGGCCTCAAAAACATAATTTACATTTTAAAATACAGTATATATATATATAAGAAAGTCGTTTTTTAAATGCTGCTATGGTGAGCATAAAACTCTACTTCCAAATAAATTAAAGAAATCTTACAGACCCCAAACTTTTAAATGGTAGTGAATATTGCTATAACTATGCATGATTATATAGTTAGTTACATTTTGTTATTTGTCATTATTTTTCCTGCTGTCTGTGAGCCTGTCAGAACAGAGCTGTGACCCATTTTTGGCTTGTGACTTTGTGATATTAGTCATCAATATCTGAAAGAGCTCGTTGTAAAAGGTGTCTTGGACTGTGCAAGTGTGCTTTACGTAAGTTATGTTGTTGCCCTCTCTGGCAATGGGATCTGATGAGTGTTATTATAGCTTTACATGCACAAGATTGCAGTGAAGTCAGAAAGAAGGCAGGGTGAGGCCTTACCAAACTGACAAATTAAGAGTAATCTTCCCTGTGTGTGTGGAAACAATAATAAGGGGAATGCCAAATCTGCATGCACTAACCATCACCTAAAGTGAACACAACCTAAAGTTGGAATGAAATAGAAATGCATCTATTTTCTAAATGCATGTTGTTGGCCCTATTGTGAATAATTCTTTTTCTAAAAAAAAAAAAAATTTAAACAAAAAATTTCACTGAGTTTGACTGAAATGTATGTCACAATTCAGAATAAAAAATGTGTCACTTCTATAATATGGTGAAAGAAATGCAATGCTAAATTGAATAAAAATGGCACGATTTTACAGTATCAGTCATATTTAACGCAGGTAATAATTATGTACTCTTTATGTATGAGCATAATACATAATGGCTCATGTCATGGGTCAGTCCTTTTGTGGATCAAACCATCAAACTTCTGATTATGAACCCTGATATGAACACTGAGCTGTATAAAATGTGTTTTTTTAGTAAAAAAAAAAAAAACACTAAAAGCACTATGAGAAAATTTCCATTCGTTTGAATTAAACATAAAATAATAAACTTTATGTGATGCATATTTATCAGTCATTTCTGCACTCAAAATCGTGACAGTTTAACCACTAACTTTTCACATCTGTTTTAATTAAATAATATTTTCAGAATGTACGTATTCAAATTGCGGAGAATCAAAATAAAACTGTTCATTGTGAAAACAATTACATGTATTCAGCTAAAAAGTATGAACATTATTAAAATGAGGAACGAGGAATATTCACTTAGTTAAAATGTATGAGATTATAACAAGTTAGATTTATTGATGATAAATATATAAACCTGATTTAAAACACATTCAGTTTATTAGTACTAGGAATCTTACCTGTTTATTACCTGTTTCATTAATGTATGGCTCACAAATATGCATCACATTTAAGTTTATTAGCTTCTTCGGTCACACTTTATTTTAAGGTCCAATTCTCACTATCAACTATTAACTACAACTTTTGCCTCAATAAACTCCTAATTTGCTGCTTATTAACAGTTAGTAAGGTGGTTGTTAAGTTTAGGGGTAAAATAGAATAAGACATTGAAATGGGCTTTTGACACAACCAGTATTGTCTAAAGTGCTATACAAATAAAGGTGACTTGACTTTATAAGTACCAATAAACAGCCAATATGCTAGTAATATGCATGCTAGTTAATAGTGAGAATTGGCCCTTAAAATAAAGTGTTATCTTTTGTTTATGATAAAACATGGAAATTTTATAAGCAATTCAAAAACAGAAATCTTAAATTTAGGCCTACATTTTTTTTTGAGTGCAGTCAACAACAGTTCAGGAAATTACTGTTTTTTTTTTTTACTTATTTGATAATTACGTCACTGGTGCTGACTTGATCTCTTGGCATTTTGGCAAACTAGCATTTGTCTCATAAATCAGATGTCTGAATTAGATTGTTCATGTCACAGCATGTGTTCAGGGAGTGAACATCACCAGTCTTGAGACTCTAATCAGAGGGACGGTGGGTGGAGAAGCTCTGCTCTCCGTCCGATACTCAAGCACCAGTCTGGATCCTCCTGTAATCAAATGGCATCTGAAAAGGGACAAACCTGTTACAGTGGTCCAGTCCATTGGCACGGAGATCATTGGTAACCTGCGACCAGAATACAGAGACCGTATCCTTGTGTTTGAGAATGGAACGCTGCTACTCCATAACCTCAAGCTGTCTGATGAGGGCACTTATGAAGTAGGGATCTCCATCACCGATGATACCTTCACTGGAGAGAGCAGCATCAATCTGACGGTGGATGGTAAGAAAAATCAAACATAACACAATCCTAACTGGTATCATAATCTATTTATAGCAGTAACTCATAACAATAAAACCATGCCTGATATTTTGCCAGAGCCAATCTCTAAACCACATGTCCACATGGTCACCTCCACCGTGCTGGAACTGACGCAGAATTTCACACTAAACTGCACCCATGAAACAGGCACTAAGACCACCTACGGCTGGGCAAAAGGTGGTCATCCATTACTAAACGAGACCCGTCTGCTGCTGTCCCCGGATCAGAAGGTCCTGACCATCACACGTGTTCAGATGGTTGATGACGACGTCTACAGCTGTATGGTGGAGAACCCTATTAGTAGCATGAGAAGTCTACCAGTCAGACTCACCGTTTACAGTAAGAATGGGTTATTTGAGCATAATTTTACATATTCAGTACATATTTGTGTCTTATGTTTGCAGTTCTTTAAGAAGTAAAAACGGCTGAAAATGTTCTTCTGTTTCCAGAAAGGAGCACTCTTTATATCATACTGTCTACAGTGGGCATCTTCCTCCTCGTCACCCTTGTAACTGTGTGTGCTTGCTGGAAGCCGTCAAAAAAGTATGACTTTTTTTTTTTCCTTTGCCCCTCGTCCATCCTTAAGTTGACAATGTTGTTGGTGTAAACTGTTTGTCACCACAAATACTTTCATTAACAGATCAAAAAGACAGAAGTCCAAAACTGTTAAACCCCGATCCATTCCACAAAATCATCACATCAGGTATCAAGACGTCAAGCCAGAGGGTATGTAATTATGCTGATATCGATTTCATAAGTGTAAATCTTTTGGGCAAACAGGCTCATTAATTAAGCTTAAATTTGTTAGGAATTAAAAGAAATGTTCTAATGTACTGTTGATACCATAAAAAATAATTTTGACTCATGCCTCAGTTTTTTATTTTAAATACTGTACAACAGACATGCATTTTGTATTTTTATTGATTTTAAAGATTTTTATTTAATTGTATTTTATTAATCCTTCTAATATAATATAATATAATATAATATAATATAATATAATAATTATGGCAAATTTATCATCACTCCCACAGCCGCTGTATTAGAAACACCCTCAAAGCAGCATTAACTAGTTTTTAGTAATTTGATGCAAAGGTAATATAATACAAAGTATAGTGTTATAATTGTACATTATTTAAAAAAATATGAAAATTGTATAATATAATATAATATAATATAATATAATATAATATAATATAATATAATATAATATAATATAATATAATATAATATAATATAATATAATATAATATAATATAATATAATATAATATAATATAATATAATATAATATAATATAATATAATATAATATAATATAATATAATATAATATAATATAATATAATATAATATAATATAATATAATAATTATGGCAAATTTATCATCACTCCCACAGCCGCTGTATTAGAAACACCCTCAAAGCAGCATTAACTAGTTTTTAGTAATTTGATGCAAAGGTAATATAATACAAAGTATAGTGTTATAATTGTACATTATTTAAAACAAATATGAAAATTGAAACACATCATCACAGTCTGTGAAAAGGATGCATAATGCTGGAGAGAAAAATTAAATTAACTTGAATTAAATTAAAATTTAAATTAAATTGTCAGCTAAAATGTGTGATTATTTATTATTACCACAGAAAATAATTTTGACTCGTCCCTCAATTTTTAAAAACAAGCAAAAATATTGTGTTAGACATGACATGTGGCCAAGTGTGGTGACCTATACTTGGAATTAGTGCTCTGCATTTAACCCATCCAAAGTGCACACACACAGCGGTGAACACACACACACACACACACACATCGTGAACACACACCCGGAGCAGTGGACAGCCATTTATAAATATATATAAATTATATTCTGTGTTCAGCAAACATGTATGTTTATTGACGTATTTTTAATTCATGTGTTTATTATTATATTATATTATATTATATTATATTATATTATATTATATTATATTCATTTATGTTTCTAGATGATGCCATCCCAATAATGACTGATCACGAGCGCAGGAATCCTGTATCACTCTACATCTTAAAAGAGAAGGTATTATGACATCATTATTGAATTTCCCTCTCCCAGCACACCTGCTTTATGTTTAAAAATAGCTTTTCAAGTGGATGAGTGGTTCATTACCTCAGTAGAGCTGTCTGTGAGTCAGAGAGCAAAGCTTGAACCCTGACTTCAACATCTCTTTACATTAGACATTAATATTCATTAATATTTTGTACAGCAGAATAGGTCATGAGATTATCATATTTCTGTGCTACAAGAACAGCCTAGAAGTTTCCCGTGCCTTCAAGTGCATTGATGTAGGCGTGTGAAGACTGTAAATGTCTGCACTTAATTGACATCCTCAGGATTCTCCTCCCGGCGAACCAGCGTCAACGTGTGAAACATGCACCTCCAACAGCAGCAGCCCTCCGAGCTACAGCAGCTCAGTACCTCCTCCATCCGACTTGCTTGAGCTGCCAGCGCGCTCCTCTCGCAGATACCCTCGCACCCCCACTAAATCCCCACCGCACCATCGCCGGAGGAGGGGACACAGTCAGAGCCCACCAGCCCCCTCCTCGCCCCGCAGCCGAGGGTCTGATCGAGCCTCTCAGCGCCCTGCGTCCTCGTCTCCAGCCAGGATGCCTGAGGATCCATCCACCCCTCCACAGGATCCCAGAGGCTCCACAAAAACATAGATGATAGCACTTACCACATCTGCCGAGCCCACATGCTGCAAAAAGACAGATACTGCACAAATACTTTTGCATTAATGTATGTCTATACCCTTAATGAGTACTGTGAATTCAGACATATTTCTCTTGTCGCAAATTCTTTTTCACTTACTATATAGTAGGGAAGTGAGCGATTTGTATGCAGCCCAAGTTTAAGGTAGGGTAGCAGTTTCTGCTCTACTAGTGTCATCTAGCAGAACTCGAAAAATAAAGCAAGTTTTCAGGCAACCTTTGCAAACGCCACTCTCCCCCAAAACATCACAAACACAGCTCTTACGGGTCTATAAAAGTGAAGGCATGTCTCAACAGATAAAAGTAGGCTACTTTCAACAAAAGATTCAACATATTAGGAATACTTCTAAGTTAAAATATTGAGCTAAAAGTTTTAACTTTCGCTTACCTGTCGTGTCTAGAATAAACTCATGAGTTTGTCGTATCGACTGAAACCCAAACATTCCATCAAATTCCTCCATATTCTAAAAACACCAATGTTTACCCTTTTTTTAAACCTTTTGTCTGTCTCTCTGTATTTTGGCCTGTCTTTGAAGTCTTCTTTTGGCTTCCACTTCAGTAACGGAATCTGAATGTCTTTTCCCCATGCCTTTTCCACACAGGCTAAACACCCTCTGGCTCAGCTACAATAGCCATGCTTCAAGCTCTCGCTATTGGCTGCGTGGAGGTATGTGTACACGTGGAGGTAGGACAACCTATCATTGCATTCGGACCAAATTTTATGGTCTTGAGCCTTCCATAGGCCCTGTCCCAAATCGCACTGAGCCCTCGCAGTCTTCCTCCCACACTTTCATGACATAACACTGCTTAGATTGTTGGTTAGAAGTGTACTGCGGAGCTCGCCTCAGAGTGCATGCGTGAGGTCAGAAATATTAAGAAATAAAAATTAATAACAAAAAATAATGAAACAACAAAAACGTTCAAATGTACAGAATTTGAAATCTCTACAACCAGCCAAATCTCCCAAGCAATGCCCTAGCAACCACCTAAATAGGTCTGTATGTGTTCAAACTGCCCAAGTATTCAAACAACACAATTTCAAGGAAAGGCTTTGTCAAGCCAACAGTGATGTTTTTCTTTCCTTTTCTAGTTTCTCTGTTTCCTTTTTTATTTTAGTGAATGTAAATGACAGTAGAGTTGATCTGTAATGAAGATGTTAAATAAAAGATTGAGAAAGACCTGAATGCAATCTTTTACATATTTGATTTTGTCCTGTGTTTCTCCTGCTCATAATCTGAACATTATGTAATCGTGTCTCTCTCACTGAAGTTCATACTGTTCCTGAAAAGGGAGAGACAATGTGCATGCTGATTCACACAGAAGACACAGTAGGCTCCTTGTTAGGCATGGTCATGGCCGTTGAGAACAGGCATTGTAAAGGGAGCAGGCTGTTCTTGTGTTGATTCATACCCATGCATAAATGTATAAGTTAGAGACAGAAACCCAAATAAGCGCAGGGAACGCTAATAGAATACCCTGTGGAAAAACAATGCCTCCAAAACAGTTCCAGGCACGAACAAAATTTTTAAAAGACTGTAAGTGGTGGAGAAAGAAAGAAAGAAAGAAAGAAAGAAAGAAAGAAAGAAAGAAAGAAAGAAAGAAAGAAAGAAAGAAAGAAAGAAAGAAAGAAAGAAAGAAAGAAAGAAAGAAAGAAAGAAAGAAAGAAAGAAAGAAAGAAAGAAAGAAAGAAAGAAAGAAAGAAAGAAAGAAAGAAAGGGTGACTTTACGATTCGGATTTTAAAGAGGAGTTTTTAAAAAGTTAGAAGACTCAATTATTATTTTGTCATTTTATTCCGTGGCGGAAACGGACTTCCATAAGCAGAAGTTCCATAAACATAAAAAATAATTTTTATAGCAACATGACCATTTCAAGTAATATCTTATAGTAATAGCCTAATAATAATAAATACAACTCCGTTTAAAATTGATACACAATATAAATCAAATTTATAATAAGAATTAGAGGGATGTGTAATTGTGTAAAACCACCATATTTAATTTTAGTCACTGACATTCGTTCAGGTCTAGTAATAAAATTACACTTGTCATGGAACTAAAACGAGCAGGTATTCTTTTCCCCATCGAACTTACATTTAGGAGCATATCGGGCGTGGCCTAATAGCTACAAGTTTTGAATGGCGTTACTTTCGACGAATAAAATCTTATCTTTACAAGCTGTAGCCAATAGAATCATAAATGGGCGGGTCTAAAAGGTTGTGATCCTGTTAGCGTCATTGACAACGGTAACTTTAATCTGACAGTTACAGCAGTAGAAATATTAACGCAATTTGCATTAGGACAGTAGAAACATTATGAACCGCTGTACCGTATAAAGAGTCCTATAAAGAAGTTTAGTTTTTCCTTGAAGGATCGGTGTCTTGCTTGGTAATAAGGTCTGAACATCAGTGACTCCCGAAAAGCCATAAATGATAGTAATACCAATTCATATCTACCAGGTTTTACACGAAAATGAATCAAACAAAACCAGCTAAAGTAAGGGTTTGCTCTTCGATAACACAAAAGAAGCTCTTAAAAGAAAATAAAAGGATAACCTCTGGAAACAGGAGAAAGGCCACAGATGTGAGAGTGTTGGCAGAGAGGAACCCGGCTGTGGCACCTGTGGGTGTTTGGGTAGAGAGCGGAGATGAGAGTCTGGAACATCCCGCGGCAAGGACTTGCACTAACATGAGAGCTGTAGAGATGCTGCTGAAAACGAGCTTCCTTGACTGGCACTTTCCACTAATACGGTACACGTTGGTGTCTCATTAAGTGTACACACACCAGGGTGATTTTGGTCCAGCGGCTCTTAATCCTGGTCCTGGGGACCCCCGGCTCTGCCTCCAAAACATTATGTATGTCCCTCTCATCTGACACACTCAGGTCAGTTCATGGATCTGTCTCTTAACGAGCTGATGATCTGAATCGGGTGTGTTTAATAAGGGAGACAAGCAAAATGTGCAGAGCAGTGGGTCCCCAGGACCAAGATTAAGAGCCACTGTTTTGGTCTGTCCCACATTAGAAGGGAAATTTATAGGAAAAGGAAAAAAAAAAAAGGTAACAGTAATCACAAACCAACATTTGGGCCCAAAATAGCTATAGCTGCTACTGAGTAAAATCTCAATTTTGGTTAAAAGACCTCTCTCTCTCGCTCAATCTCTCTCTCTCTCTCTCTCTCTCTCTCTCTCTCTCTCTCTCTCTCTCTCTTTCTCTCTCTCTCTCTCTAAAACTTAAGCTTATTTAATTTCACCTAGTTGCTGAGACTAGATTTCTATTTTTCATTAAAGTTAAAGTACTAAAACTGAAAAATGAATAAAACTAAGGACATATTTAATAATAATAGCAATAATAATAATAATACAAATGACAAAACACAACCAAACTGGATGAAAATGGAAAAATAAAAACTAATTTAAAATCTTAATAAAAATGATAATAGTATGTGATACTAAAATACCACTGGTCATTACTTATTATTATTATTATTATTATTTTTAGTTTTATTTTTTTCTTTTGAATTGTTATTTTCTT